GTAAGAAATTTTAATGAATATTTACATAGAATACCGGGGGTGTTCTATATAAAATATCGATGATTACGTATATATGAGTGATTTAAAAAATACCAAATACTCTAGTACAGGGACTAGATATCAATTGTATACACATAAGTGTAGATAGGTATACCTATTTAAAAAATATATCCACATAGTTTGTCGTATTTAAAGATTATTTTATTTTTTATTATAGTATGTACTTTAAAAACTATTATAATTTTATTACAGTACAAAAAATAAACATACTTAAAAAAAAAAACTACTTCAAAACGGATTAAATAAAAATCAAATGGCGAAAAATAAACTGATATTAGACTTAATTTAATGGACAAAATGGGTTTGAAGTCGGTGCCAATTGATGCGTTATATTGTTTTCGATAGTCTTGTACAATTCGAGTTTTTTGTAGTTTATTTATAGTTTAAGGGTTGGTTTTTAATCCTTAAAAATATTTAAGTACTTCATTAGAAAAAGGCTTCTTTGTTAATTTAAGCTGTAGGTATATATTATAATTGCTGTTCTAGTTTTTATTAGACTTGACACCGATTTCAGATTTTGTCCTTTCAATGAAGCCTAATATCAGTTAATTTTCGTTTTTTATTACATTTTTTTTTAAATCGGTTTAACCTTTTATTTAAAAGTTTATTTTTCTACTTTTAGTGTAAATAATAAGCAGTGACTAACTACCTCACATAATATAAATAAACTGTTATTAAGCAGCAGATTTTTTTGTATGAATTTTAGTTTTTTTTTTGATAATAATACTTCTCGTAACTAACAACTTTTAACTCTCATTCATAGGATAACCCACTCACCAATAGGATATCATCAAATCGTATTTTGATAGTTGATAGTTTTGTGGCTTCCATCATCATGTCAGCCGCCTAAAATTATGATTTCCAGGAGCAATCACTCAAATAATTTGAAAGAGCCTAGGAAACAGCCCATACGTCCTTATAATATTCAAGGAATTATCCCCTAATTCCTAAACGTTAAACCGTTAGTTCCATCATCAGCTCATCAGAATAACTTAAAGGGTTATAACAACAGATTTTATATGCTTATAGTATTTAAAGAATTATGCTTAACTCCTAACCATTGAAGAGTTGAATCTTCCATCATCAATTCAACATGAGATGATGACTACTAGATACAAATATCTGAATAAGGTTTGAAAAAATTGGAAACATCATACATATATGTGCCTATAAAATTTGAGAGTTGCTCTCGATTTCTCTAAGATCCCATCATCAGATCCTAACTTGGTGACAATGGGACCACTTTATGAGCATTGAATACAAAAATATTTTTTAAAATACGTCCACAATCCAAGAAATCGGTATGTATGCCCATAAAAAATATATATAATCGAACATATATTCTCCTTCTTTTTTGAAGTCGGTTTAAATCGTAGGTCGTGGTAATCACGCCTTGACGCCAGACCTTGGGCGATCGGTAAATCGATTTATTTCAATCACAGCGAGTACGTGACGAGCGGGTAGTGCCCTACGCACGTAAGCATCGATTGCTTGAAATAGTACCTTTGTCCCAGCATATTTTACCAGGCCAAGCGTGGTAACTATTGGTAAAGTTCCCTTATGGGGAGACCTATGTCCAGCAATAGATAGTTAACGGCTGATATGGGAGGGAAAGAAATTGTTAGTAATGGAGACTGAGAATCCCATTGCTAGCAATATACCCAACCAAGTCGACCTCTTCCTAGCGGTTCCCCCTGGAAACAATCATAGTTAATTCCTGATGAATTCATCATGATGGGCTAATTGGCCTGTTTTCATTCTCATCGATCACCCTTTACTGGTGCTCCGCCAGCGTATCCCGTTAGCGTAGGCGGGGTTACCATACCATTTTCACCCATAAAAAAAACGGCTGCTATGATAATAATAATGGGATCATATAAGCCTTTAACTGTCCACTGCTGAACATAAGCTTACCCTCTTGGGAGATTTTTCCAGTAGCTGTTATGCTTGGCAACCGCAGTTAGGCTTTAGAGATGTTTTAAGAAGATTGCTGCTGCCCATCCTTCGCCCTCCTTTAGTCATCTCTTACGACACCCGCAGGAAAGGAAGGTAGCCGATTCTATGCCAGGACCACACGGCAATAATAGAATATAAACATAACCTCCTAAGTCTCTACAAATAAGAACCAGCTTAGCCAGAAGGATTAAAAAGCCCGACGAATAATATCCTGACAATCTTAAAAATTAGAAGGGAACTTGGAACGAAATATAGACGAATAGTTCGCTGTGAAAAATGACAAGTCCGTAATGGTGTTCAGCATCTTGGCGAATACTTAGAATTCGTTTTGGACTTTCAGCAGTTTAGTTGTAGTTTTCTATAGATTGGGAGGTAACTTATGAAAGGCATCATGTGAACAAAGTGAAATCGCAACTAGTTTCCACGATGCTTTCTTCGATGTAGCAAAAAAAACTTCCGTTTCTGGAGTATATTGTTAACTCCACGCGGTCCCCTCTGGAAACTATCAAGGTCCATTCTTGGCGAATTTGTCAAAATGGGATAATTGACCTAACTTCATCATCACCTATCATCGTCTAACGGCCTCATTGGAGAATATTGCCTGTTCTAGCAATATTCTACATCAGGTTGACCTCCACGCGGTCCTCTCTAGAAATCATCATTCACGGTGATTTCATCATGATGGGCCAACTGAACTGACATCATCATCACCATTTTATTCACTGGTACAGCATATATCGATAACATAGGCGAGGTATCCATTCTATTATTATCATTAAAATGCCTGGCCAGCGTCACGTCTGGTAGTGCGTAATAATCAGGGCCGTGCCTGTATATGCGCCTAATAATATTAAAAAAAACTACTTTATTTTTAATGTTTATTAGATAGATTAGATTAGAGAAACTGTTTTTACTTCGTATCTTAATGAAAACAAACCGATTGTATTTTTGCCCAGTAAACAACTTGTAACGATTTGGCCGCCTCTTAATTTCGGCCGCCTGCGTGCGGTGCACGCAATGAACGCCCGTCAGGCACGGCCCTGGTAATAATATTCTTATATGGAATGGGACCCATGTCCAACAACGGGACGTTAATGGATAGTCAAGATTAAAGTGAAATAAATAATTAATAAACAATTGTATATCTGATTAATATATATATTCATATAATGTTACAATACGTATATATCTAAATGCATGTTATGTATTTTATATATTTATTTATGTAATATATACTATTATGAATGCTCAGTTGTATGTATGGTATGATTATTCATATATTTGTATGTATTTTTAAAACGAGCGTTAGATATAATTGCGCCAAATATCTACCACCTTTTTCTTTTCTCCTCTCCCCAAAAGTTGTCTGGAGGAGTTTGCTTTAGCGATTGGCCCGTCTTTTGTACTTTATATGTGTAATAAGAATATTCCAACAAGTTACCTCTATGTTCCATTTGTCTGCTAGATATACTGTCATATCTGTCTGTTTAGTGTACAGATCAGTAATTCTCAACCTTTTTTTCGTTGCGGCACATATTTAACGATTTCAAAATTTGGCGGCACACAAAGAAAATGATAAAAATTATTTACTTACTACAACACACTGCATAAATAGTTTATGACAAAATTTTTTAATATTTGCAAAATTTGGCGGCGCACTTTTAAAATTTGGCGGCACACAAAAGTGCCGCGGCACAGTGGTTGAGAATCACTGGTATAGATAATCTGGTAGTATTATTTTATTGTTACCCTATTTCCTATGGCTGCAACAGAATATCAGTGTTCTTTTGAGGACGAAGCAATAAACTGAGTTGTGACCATTTTATATTGTTACGGCCCAAGTACAAAAGGAAAAATTGTACTTGGCTTTATGTATTTTTTTTTAAATTATTTATGTTATCTCGTTTTTTATGTATATCTGTATATGTTATAATTTGTGTGCTGTAAGTAATGCATATAAATTATCTATCTATTTATATATTGTAAATAAATAAGTAATCAATGATCTACGACTTGATATACCTACAATAAAATTGTACTTAGATATGTTTTATTATTTTATTATATCAATCCTTAACTGTCCACTGCTGAACATGGCCTTTTCCATTAGGGAAGTTTAAGCAGTAGTTGCCACGCTTGGCAGACGGGTTAGCAATTGCAGTTAGGCTTTAGCGATGTTTTAAGAGAAACGCTGTTGCACATCCCTCGACCAATGAGATATCTTTGTCGCCTCTTAAGACTCATCATATAAGACATACATAGGTATCATTTCCTATGAATGTCCTTTTCATAATAAATATATAAAAAAAAAACAATAAAAAAAAAAAGAAGTACCTGAGATGTCTAAATAACAACTACTGCAATTAAATAGTTTTTAGCTAAAACAATAAAAATTGTAAAAAATGCTAGAAATTATATAATATTTACATACGTAAGTTGATAATCTGTTAATAAAATTGATTCCTAAAAGTTACGTCTCAACTCATATCTGCATTGTATTGCATCTTATATAAAAAAAAATATAGGGTAGTTTAAAGATTTTTTTAAGTTCAGTACCTGTCCAAATTGTATAAAAGTGTTCTTTTCCTTATGTTGTATTCTGGTCTGAAGGCCAAACTATCTTGATATGGCATGGATTTTGAAGAGCAGCGCGCGTTTAATCAAGTTTCTCTCGTAACTCGGCAAGAATGGGCGTGAAATTTTTGCCGATCTCAGAACAGTAAAATCCCAAAGCAAAGAGTAGTAAATTATATAATATTTTTTTTTCGACATACGTAAGTTGATAATTTGTTAATAAAATTGATTGGCGCGAAGGGGCGTTGGAAGACAATGCCCCTACGTTGTCTCATTTGGCCCTCATCTCTGTTCATTGTACTTCGCATTTGGGGGACATAAATGAGATAAAAAAAGCTTATATAAAAAAAAGGAGCCTATAGTCACAGGTAGTTTAAAATAATTGATTTTTTTTTTAAGTTTTCACAAACCTCGTATGTACATAAATTTGTAATGAAATGACATGATTAATTGAAACTGGAATTGTAGTTTTGTAAATTGTGAATAAATGATCTATATCTATATGAAATTCTATTCAAAATTACGTATTCACTCCGAATAAAATGATGATGGCCATCACGAATATAAATAAAATTAAAGAAAATAAAATAATTATAAATAATAAGAGATATTAGAAAGTGATATGAGTGACTAATGTTAAAAATACATTTCAAGTATTAAATAATAATATTGTTATTTAATGTCATAAGTTTTGTGAAACATACCACCTCTCTAATGACCTTAATTTTGTAACTAATTATCAAATTTTGTAATAAGCATATTAATGAATAAGAATAAGTTTTTAATGGTTTCCTTCCGGAGTCATCTTGTCAATCATGTTGTTTGAATTTTGTATATATTCTAGAATGCTGATTTTTGATAAGTCGATAGAATTTGTCACGTAGATTATTTCGAAAGCGCATATTAATGATGCTTAAACTTTATAAATGTGCGCTACTGCACAGCACTGGTACCGTGGTCTGCTTGCTGTAGTCATCTAGTATGAAGGTATAAAATCAATGATCATCAACCATGTTGACTAAAACCATGATTACAGCGTCGGTATAACACACATACTCGGTTCAATTGGCCAGCCGGACAAATAATGAGTTGCACTAGCCCGAATACTTAGATAATCGCAGTGGTTAAATTTTATATGACTTACTTCGAACGTTATCCGGGATGAACATTAATATTTAGCTTTATCAGACTTAAATGTGTCAATACTGACTTTTAAAACTAGCGACCTGTTACAAAAGGAACAAACACAAGCCTAGATATGACATTTCTGCAATCCAGGTCACGGATACAATCGTGATCATCACAGCCATGTAATGTGTGTTGTGAAGTATCCAAAGACCCTTAATCTCAGTGCCTTTATGATTTAATGTAAGAGGAGTTGCGTAACTGGTTGCGGAGCGAAACGGATCTGGATCCGTTTCCATTTTCCGAAGCCAAAAATATCTACATTTCATGTTTGCAGTTTGCACCACAAATTCTTTGTACGAACGCTTGTACACTGTGTTCTATCAGTCTGAGTTCTTATGCAGGAGGTAGTGATGGTGCCGTGCCCTCAACATTCGTCGGAGTGGACAAAGAGCACAATCGCCATCTATGTTCCAGAACTACCAGAACTCTATACTGAATGATAATCTGTTCGTAAATGGAACTATCAAATACCTCTCCTGTTCCAGCTTGGGATTTATGTTGGTTCTTGATTTATAGTGACCTTATATCTGATTCCAATAATTTTTTATATTTAATTTAAATTAAACTAGATAATTGAACGGAGACTAATTTCCACCCTTGAAATACGATAGATTACAGAAATAATGAGGGAACGTTGCTAGGAGTCGATCGCGATCGTCTAGTGTTGTACCTGAATCTTCAAATCTTACATTGATATTTAGATATAGGTTATAGTACACTTGACTGGAGTATGTATTACAATCAAAGTACCATATCGCCACTCACTTTCGTCATTAAGGTCCACGTAAGCTGCTTGTTCGAAAATAACATGCAACTTGCATGCAAACAGAAACAGCATATCGTGGTGAGCTGGTATCCAAATAGCGTTGGCTTAAGTACAGGGATAGCCTAGTCTGTGGATATTAGTCTTCAAATGTGCAATTATAGATCAGTTCTTTTCATCATACATTGCAGATGCTTGTTGGGAAAATTTTGTTTTATTACACAAGGGACAAATTAGTACGCGGCTCATCTGATGGCAAGTGACTACCGCCGCTCATGAACACTCACAACACCAGCGGCATTGCAGGTGTGTTGCCGGCCTTTTAAAAAGGAATATGCTCTTTTCTGGATATCTAGACAAATTAGCAAGTAGCTAAAACGACGTAAATATGAAGTACATACATACTTACTTAAGGAATATCCCTCCTAACAAGCTTATCGGTTTTGGTAGAAATGAACCTAATATTATACAAAATTAACCTAATGATCTACACTTTTGACTTGTTGCTAATCACAAGTAGTTACACAGACTCAATCTTATTTAAACCTATAGTACATACTTACTCCTACAAAATATTTGTGATGCGTCAGTGTACAAATAGATATTGCATGCATTTCTTTTAAAATAGACGGGTAATCATCTATAGATGGGATCACATAGAATTTAGGAGATTCCGTCTATAGAATGCTTTGAGGATCTCTAGCGATAATCTAAGATCTAAATTATTGCTAGGGATTTTTAAAGCAATCCTTCTTCTATCATATTTATAAAGTAGATAATTCCTAAATAGATAAGAGTAAATTACATATTATTCTATGAAAAATAATACAAATAAGTGGAAATTTTTACAATGTAATAAAAGCAAGAACACATGGTTAATTTTAGCCCATTTTCTCTTATATAAATTCAAAACTGTTTAAGATTCAAAAATTAAGACTGTCACAAGAAATTATTCATTTCATATGTGACACGATATAGTTTGCATCTTTTTTTTAATGTTCTAATTTACCTAACAAAAGTGATCGCCATATTTAAAATTTATTTATTTACGTTACACATCCATCTTTGAGTCCCCAACTTACATATGTGACCAAATTTCATCTCAATCGGTCTAAAAGTTTTGGAGTAAATTAAATCTGACAGACGGATAGATAGAAACGCGAATAAAAAGAAAGGAAGCCGTAAGGATTCCGTATTTTCATTTTGAAATATGGAACCCTAAAAATAAATAATTATATAGTATGGTAAGTACTTCATACTAAAGCGTAGAAAAACGATATAAATAAATAATTTTCGATTCAGAATCTTTAAGATCTTCAGTTGATAGTTTGAAATATTGTATAATTTGAAAACGATCCCCATAGATAAAATGATGTGTATATTTCTCGTAACTTTGGATTGCTACTTACAAGTGTGAAAAATTAAATATCTAGTTTCTTAAATAGTACATACTCCTAAAAGCGAATCTAGCTTTCACCAGTAAATTTTATTTCGTATACGACATTCAATGACGGTTACTACAATGGTAACAAATACATAGCCCATGAAATACATTTTATAAAAACAAACTCGAGTTGCCTAGCTGCTCCGAGTGTGATTAAAATTTGATATTCTGTAAATAAGTAAGATCTTTTCGAGCAACTTTTCGTTAAGATGGCGGCGTTTCCAATTATGGGGTAGTTGATAGTTCTTGTTCTAGTTCTTTCTCACTTTAGTTTTCACAATACGCTTACCTTTCACTTCTCTTGTCGTAACCAAAGCTTATAGAATATATGAAATTTAGAATGAAGTGAGTTGCAAAGTGTAAATTTTTATCTTTATCTATACATAGGAGTCACATTTGTAGTCATTACGACAAAAATCTTCAAATCCAAAGCAGATGTGGATTTGCCTACGAAGTTCCTTATATTTAATTATTGACCATCAAAAGTTCTTAAGAGATCGATATAACTCTTTGAACGCTATCTAGTTGCTGTAAGATATCGAGATCTTAATTTCACATACTAAAAAATAAGTAGATAATTTTCTAGATTTCATTTTTTTTTATACCAGATAGGTGGCAAACAAACATACTGCCCGTCTAATGGTAAATGGTCACTATAGCCTATGGACGCCTCCAACATTAGGGGTGTCACGTGCGCGTTGCAGACTCTAAAATTTTCTTTGAACAATCCTTTTTGAAGAACCCCATACTGTAGTCTCTAGGGGAAACCTCGGCAACTCTCATCCCTCAGCCTGAGCGTTCATGGGAAAAAATAATTTCATGTAATACTCGAGTGCACAATATAATTCTAATTCCGAAGCGAGAACAATAGTTTTGTTATCGAAATAACGCCATTTCCTACTATGAAATACGATATAAACGTAATAAATTATACCTTATGTAACTTCACCAATGTTAACAATATGGAATATACTAAAAGTAAATACAAGTTATCCGCCAACTATCGTCAAATTTCGTGATTACAGCTATGATGTTTTGGTTCGTAGTTGTAGCCGCTAAATAATTAAAACTATCAATAATAGCAAGAAAATAGATTCAAAAGAAATTTGTCTGTATACAATTAGAGTATAGCAATACAAGATCTTCATATTTCGAGAATTGGCAATGATGCCTTCATTGTTGTAAACGTTGAGGTTCGTTGTAGGCTTATCATCAAAGGATCATATCCATTGTATAGACAAAAAAAATCAAAAAGAAATTATAACCAGTATCTCGTATGATAACGTAAGGATTCTAACGATACCACCAATGTACATAAAAAAAGAAATTATGGTGGAATATAGAAATTCACAAACATACACACCCTGAAAACATTTCACCTCTTTTGTGGACAGTCATATAAATAAGGGTATCAATTTTTTCTTGTGAAATTACTGTCAATAGCTTCATACCTTAGAAGTTATATTACCCACCTTTACTATTCAAATAACAGCCATGGAGAAAACATAAAAAAAAAAAAATAATTAAATATATGTCTTCACTCCAGTGTCGGGGTAGTCAGATGAATCCAATTCAATATTTGCAGTAGAAAGACGAAGTGAACATTCAAGTATTTTGTAACGTAATTTTTAATTACAAAACTTTTCTTTATTTAAATAAATAACCAAGGAATTGAAATCTTTTAAATTGGCAACCCATTTAGTTTGTTTTATGGGCTATCCCTCGCGTTTTCTACGTAATTTTTAGGTCAAAATGGCCATTTGGGTGTTATGTAACATTTAGGGAGCGGGAGAGCAGTAACAGAAAAATGTCACATATCAAAAATCTTCAAAAATTGCGTTAGATAATACTTGAATGTTCTCGAATCAGTTCCAAGAGTTGAATATAGAGGTAAAAGCTTAGATAACAAATCTACATGATAGTGTTTCTTTCAGTCGAGAAGAGCAACAATATAAACGAACCGAATCGATTGGAATGAAATATTCTCATGTTGGGATCTAATCTGGCTAGATGGAGAAGAGATCTCAAATATGTTGCAGGGCATCGATGAATAACATACGTCTCAGGACTTTATTATGTAGAACAGACGACGAATAACGTCGAATTAAATTATGCCGATAAACAGTATGCTTTTCATTTGTCGTAACCATTCAGTGTGTCTCCATCGGCTTACGAAACTTAAAAATTGCACTAGCAAGCATCGTTCTGATCTCTGTGATAGCGACCTCCTTATTTACAGGATATTTTGTCATTTTCCTTGAAGATACTAAATCTAAATTGTCATTTGGTCATTTCCGTTAAATATAGGTGTCTCACATATCAAAAAATATTGTTTTATATTCAAAGGTAGGTAATAGTAAGAGTAAGGTACTATTTGCTTGCGAAAGCAATTCGGTTGTAATATTGCAAACTGGATATCGCCATGTAAATTTTTATTGTCCTAAAGATTAAGATTAGCTAGTTTCTCCCAAACATCATGTCGTGATGCAGTCAGGTATAGTCTACAAATATTAAATGTGCGGTGAATTTAAAATTAATTCTTAGAATATTCTTACAGTGGTGAACTAAAATAGGCTTATTATTTTGTTTTATGTTTAGAGATACTTATAACGTTTAATGGTCAACAACATTCAGTTATTTATTTATTGATATCTAATTTTTACCATTGGAAATTTTTTTTCGCATTGTGCATGAATAATTTTTTTTCTTAAATCTAATTATCTTTAATATAAATTGTAATTTAAAAATACGATAAAAAAACTACAACATATAGTATATTCGATTATTCGGACTTATTCTTCACACCTCTTATTACCAATTTAGAAATATTATGTATCAATTCGATAAATAAGTATTAAGTAATTCATTATCTTCATAGCTCGTATTTTTTTTTATATCGTATTGTTTAAATGATATATGTAAAACCCTTTACATAATAAAAAAATGATTAAATTTATTTATTGTTTGATTTGGCTTTGAAATAGCTTATCCGGATTTCAATTATCCGGAGTACCTCTGGTTTTATTTGATTCGAATAATCGAGATTATATTGTACCATATTTTCAAATTTTGTTCGAATTGGTAAAAACGCATAGTAATAGTAAATTAAAATTATAGAATCTTTTAGTCTTACATTGAGTGTATAAACACACTTATATTAAGAACGTAAGTTAGACCAACAGAAGTTTTTAAATATATTTAGATAGGTAAATGGGCAGATTATATGATTTAACAAGATACTAGTAAAAAAAATTTGTTGAATTTTATAACCTAGACAATGTCCTTACTTAAGTTTTTGCATTAGAAAAGATATTTAATGAGATGGTAAACTAGATAATACCCTGACAAAATTATAATGAAGCCTGAGCTAAATTAATCTAAATTATCACAGCAAATTTTGGATTAAAATTATAACCAGAATTGGAAGCTTTTACAAAAATAATATTAACATACTTGAACAAAATATATTTAGGGTCTGACATCCAATATCAAATACATTTTATGATATAAAATTACAGATACATATAAAAGTATAAAGTACTGGTAGATATATCTAAAATAAATTCTTTTAGAAAAAACACCTAATTTACTTACCAAATGCATCATGATGATCTGCACATGTAACCCCATACTCGATTAAAGCAATAGCTGGTATTTGAAAAAATGTGTGTGTTCGCATACTAACCCAGTGAAGATCTCCATTTGAATGATATAAAATCTCACGAGCCATTTCTCTCCAAATGAATCGTGAATCTCGAGATATCTATACTATATAGGTAATAATATTTTAATTCGCCTTTGAGGTCAGCTTACAAACTGTTGCACGGGGCGAAGGGATTGTTAGTAATGCGAAATGCCATTCCCATTACCAAAAATATACCCCTATCAGGTCGACCTCCCCGTTGTATCACCTGGAAACCGTGTTGAATTCCAAGTGTATTCATGGCGATGGGCTAACTGACCTCTTTTCGTTCTCACCTATCATCTCTTACTGGTGCCCTGCCAGAGTATACCATTTGCATAGGCGGGGTTACTGTTCTTTTATCATCTATTAAACATCTGTTGCACGTCGATCCATCGGTATTTACTGTTTCTCTCTGCCTTATTCTATTTTTATAAATCCTACGCATTAGACTTACGATATGCCGCGGTTTAAGACACGAGTATTTATAGTCCTCTGTCTCCGGATAAGCCGTTCCCAGTAGAGTCATACACATAATCGTAAACGAATCACACAAAATTTTATATTACGTAGGTAAATTATACTAGTCGAATCTATATTTTGTTCTGTCTATTCACCAATTTGTACTAATTTATATTTAGCATACCATGTTAGTTAAATCTGTATTACTACTTATCTTTTTGTGAGTATCCACTAATTTGTGTTGACTATTAAATAATATTAAGTGTGTAAATTATTTTAGCTTTTTTTTTATACAACTTAGAATGGCAATGAATGAATTAGCTGACTGTGTATTACTTTTATTCTTTTGCATGTCCACTAATTTGCATTAAAACATTTAAAAATTTAAATTAAGAACGTAAATTATATAAGTTGATTTTTTATTATCTATCTATAAATTTTAGTGTCGTCTTACATACTTGTATCTTATTCAGATACTCATTTTGTAAATAAAAAAAATATTTCTCATAAAATAGTATTAATAACATATACTATTTTGTTTTACAAAAAAGAATTGGCTAGCATAATTTTGTAAAACAAAATCATTTAAAACAAAATATATTTTTTTATGGCAGTGTTATTTGATGTCTCACAAGTCACGTAATTTTTTATAAACGATATAAAAGAGTTTTTATTTAAAATAAGATTATATCTATTCCATTGATAGTTTTTTTTATTTTATTTTTTTTTATAAAGTGTAATTACTTTTGTACTCTTCAAATGGAAATAAGAGTATAGTATAGGGTTGTTTCTGTTTCTGCCTACCTTAATGGGAGACAGGCGTGACAGATATATATAGGGTAAAATGTATTATTTTATTTATTAAAATAAAAATAAATTATGTAATAAATACATCCTTAAAGTTACTTAAAATTAACAAGTGGTTGTAGTACTGAGATATTTTCAATGAAATAGTCCAATGAAAATTCACAGCCTTCGATTCAATATTTGTGAAGTACATATCTACCTGAACGCAATGAACGCGTCTCCAAGTTCTCCGCCTACGATGTGAACACCGCCTTCCGGTATTGAAAGTCCTCGAAAGAAATTTCGAATGTCCAGGGCGTTCGCGGACCAGGGCAGGTTTTGTAGCCTAATGATGACGCTCATTGTTGCACCGTTACCTATAAAACAAGTTGAAAGACTTCTATTGCACTGTGACTGAATACTTCACAACTACTAACTGATCACTGAGGGGGCAAAGGGATTATTAGTAATGGGGTCAAATAGCTCCATTACTAGCAATATACCCTGTCAGGTCGACCTCCACGTGGTTCCTCCTGGAAACCATCGTGGCTAATTCTAGTTGAATTCGTCAGGATGGGCTAGCTGACCTGCTTTCATTCTCATCAGTCATCTATCACTGGTGTCCCGCCAGTGAATACTAATAGGGCAGACGGGCTTACCACACCATTATCACCAATTAAAAAAGAAAAACTGATCCATGAAATTTATGATTGGAACAGTCAATTAATTAGTGGTCATTAACTAAGAATTAAGGGTCATTAATTAATTGCTGTTTTATCACTTAATTACCTTAAACAATACATTTGCCTAAGGGTAAAGAATTATTATTTGCTATTCTATTATTGGTATATTTAGCACAGAACAGAGAATAAACAGAGAATTTTGTAGTAGTGCTATTGTCCTAGCAGAATATTTCCTAGTAGTTTATCTTCTGATGTTATCTTCTATTTTGTGTATTTAGTAAACAATGTTATCATGTCCTAATATTTTTCTTTAAATAAAATGACAAGAAAGTTTTTTATTAGAGCTTTTCATTACAGATGTTTGTTTTTTTTCACTGCTCTGCTCCTATTAATCGTAGCGTGATGAAAAGTTTACAATTTGTTTATTTATTTATACTATATTGTAAAAAAATAACATTGTTATTTATTTTAATTAGAGCTCGCACGGGTTATTCACATTTTAAAAAGCTGATGTTTGTTTTTTTCCCTTCACTGTTCTGTTCCTATTGATCGTAGCGTGATGAAAAGTATACTATAACCTGCCCAGGAGTATGAAGAATAATTGTACCAAGTTTCGTTTAAATCCGTCTAGTAGTTTTTGTTTCTATAACGAACATACACACAGACAAAAATGTTACCGATTGCATTTTTGGCATCAGTATCGATCACTTATCACTCCCTGATAGTTATTTTGGAAATATATTTCATGTACAGAATTGATCTCTCTACAGAATTATTACAAATACAGATATATATAAATAAATAATTATTAAAAATGTTTTAAAGTTCGATTTCTTATCATTTATTTTTAACATAGGATATATTTCAAGGAGTGGAGGACATGAAGGAGCGTTCAATGTATTGATTAAGTAAACAAGTTAGATCAAAGATTTAGAACTAGGTATGCATATAATTTTCATGTGACTTTTTTTTTTTGAGAAAACCTTTCATATTTAACATTTGATACTACAAATTTAAAAATTAACAGTAATATTTTTATGTATTATGTGATTTAAAATGTTTTTTTTTGTCAGGCAGGAGGTACTAACACTACCTTTAATTATGTACACACTTTAGTATGGAATCTATCAGTAACCGTTCATACAAATCCATCATTATTTTTATTATTATAGCAAATCCATTATTATCTTATTAACTTCTATCTATCCCTATTCATGTGTGGAGCGATTTAATCCTACAATTACCATATGCTGATATGAATTTTATTCAAGTTTTCTTTCTATTGTAGTAAAGTAGTGTGTCTTATTCTCATAGTTATCACTTATGTCTAAATGTGACTAATATATAGCAATATCTGTATATATTATAGTTAAACTACCTATGTACTGATATAATAACAGAACAACAACTATTTTAGCCCTTACACAAAAATTTGAATCTCACATACAAACTCAATAGCTGAACGCTAAATGAACACTGCCTTCATAGTAAAATAACAATTTTAATTTGACCCTGACCACACTGTATAATTTAGGAATTAAGTACCACCTTTGCTATCATATATGACACTAAGCTATAGTTCTCTACCAATTATAAAAAAAGTGGATGTTCACTAACCTTGTTATTCATAAGAACTAAAACTACCTACAAAATTGTTTTAGCTATTGAAGTATTGTCTTTTTTTTTTATTAAGAATATACTGCAAATGGAAAAGACAAAACAGTTTAATAGGTTTATTTATGAGAAGTTTGACGTTTTTATGAATAAGGGGATAATTCAAATTTTTTGTATAATATCTTTGACAAATCTGTATCAATATTGATAATTATTTTTGCAATTGATAAAGGTTTTAACCTTGTGTTGATTCCATATTATTTATACTACGACAAAGCCAGATTCTCTTCAGAGAATCTTAAGTTATATTGTTAGTAATGTGGACTACCAGACCCATTATACCTGATAGCTCGACCTTAATGTGGCCCCCCTATGCCATGGAAACCGTCGTGCTGAATTCCAGATGAATTTATTACAATGGACTGATATACCTTTTTATTCTCACCTTTCATCCCTAAATGGTGCTCCACCAGCATATACCATCCCACCATCAGGGTTACCATCCCATTATTATCCATTAAAGAAAAAACTATGTATATTTGATTCTAAATAACTGTTAGTCACAATTAAAAACATTGTTTATAAACAGATAGATAAATAAAAAAATAATTCAACTAATATTTAAATGTTTGTATTGCATAGAAATTGAACTCACAATTATTACGTGATGTAGTGTTACATAGCTAGTAAAGGATATTACTGGTCCCAGGTCAACAACCTGGTTCCCTAGAAAACATATTATATTATTTTGATGGAATTCATTACGATAGACCAAGTGACCTTCAACTTCATCTTTCACGTTTCAGAGGTAAATTGACCAGTGTAAACCAGTTGCATAGGTGAGGTTATCATTCATCTAAAAACCACTATGTGACTATAATAAAAAATAGCTTAGATGTATTTCAATTTTTTATATAACATAGAATGGTAAACAAGCTGACGCCTTACTTGATGGAAAGTGGTAACCATTGCCTATAAATATGAACAGGACATAAAAGAGTATATCCTGTCAACCATGATACTCTTCGTGCATTACCATTCCTGAGGACTAAGATGTTATATCTTTGTACATTGTAATTTCAAAAATTTGCAAGACTTTTGTGTAAATTCTTCCTTTGGTTGAGGTTAAATACATGATTATTATATTTCATGGAGACTATTTGAGCCACTAAGGAACAAAGAAATAAAAAAAAAAAAACTAACTTTCACATACTATTATATCCCACCCTTCAATTATTTAGATTTTATTTGAATGTACAGTGATATACTCACCAGAGGGAGACTTTGTACAAAAGTCGATTGCTTGGGTACCTCTGTTCCATTCGTGTTTCTACCGTGAAGCAGTTGTTTGCATGGCTGTGTTTCGGTTTGAAGGGTGGGATAAGGTGTGAATTTACAGGGTACAGAGGAATAACATCTCGATTCCTCAGGAACGGCAATGCATGCGAGGTATCATGGGCGAAACAGTATACTCTGTTATGGCTATGTTACCACTCATGTCTATAGACGACGGTTACCACTTTCCATCAGGTGGGCCGTCATCTAGTTTGCCATTCTAAGTTGTAATAAAAAAATATATGTATACTGGTATGAGAACATCATATTCACTTGAAGACATCAGAATGAAGCAGAAAGAATCTATTATTATTATTAACTTATTATGTTAGCCATATGGCTAATATAGTAAGTTCGTTGAATCCCCATTGTCCAGTTATATAAAAATGACCATACATTTTTTAAATAATTATTCAGTTCCTTGGTTTCAGTGATCCAGGGAATGATACACCATTGACATTCAACTTAAAAAGTAATATTCAGTAGTAATAATTTTATTTCATTTTGCCAATTTTGACGTCCATAGTGCTTTTCCCCCAAGAAGGATAGACATCATGTAGGCGGTTAGTCTTAAAATTACCAGCAAAAACCTTGAGCAATATGACTAAAATCTTTATTATGCCAGCCCCAAATAATTGGGATAAGGGCATGAAGATAATGACATAAATGGTGCTGTTCAGGTGAGCCTTCAGTTTGTTTACCATTCCCAGTTACATAAACAAATAACTACAATGAGTGTGTAACTAATTTACTCAAGACTATATAGTCTTATCATAATTTTGTCATAAGAGTCAACCAACAATTGCACAAAAAAATATCAACATTGCTTCAGAAAAGATATTACATCACCTACATAGACAGATAAACCCTCATGTAATTTCAGTAAAATTGATTAATTTGAGGAATCCATTTTTACAATGAAATATAAGCTATATAATAGTAGATTAAAAGATGGTCTCACAATTGTAATCCGAGATCGGGCAGTCAGAGAAATTCCAGATTGTTGCCTTTTGTATAGTATTCTAATTTTTAAATAAATAGTATCATGTGAAGATTTCTGTTTTTAAATGAAACTCAAACATACTATGAACTAGAAATATTGATAACATTATGTTATAATTGTTTGAATCAGGGCAGTTACAATTTTACATAACATACCTTGTATTTTAATGAAAAGAGAGCTTGTATTTTGTTTAAGGTCGCTAAATAAAATTGATCATGAAATATTAGAATTAAGACTTGTGATTGAATTGGACTTTGCTGATTAAATTTTAATTTTAGATAATTTGAAGCAAAATTTATATTTTCTAAATCAGTAAATGGTTTTATTTTTTACTGATATAGCATTCAATAATTTATCTGTATTCTCTTGTATTGAACAACTTTGTAAAAAAACATGTGTTAGCAAGAACCATTGCGATTGTGGGTTAATTCATTTTGGAAAAGATAGCATATTATCTCTTTTCACATATATAAATAAGAATATAAACAACTCGCCAATTTTGAATTTTACTTCAAATTATGTTTAATAACAAAATAATAAAAAAAAAAACACTTATTTCGAATCCAGTACTAGTACATCTACATCTAGTATTAAACAAAAAGTACATCTAGTACTTTTTGTTTAATTTTATTCAGTGACCAATTACTCTAAGGTGGTTGTTCACTAAACAAAATAATAATCAGCACTTTAAGTAAATTAAATCCGAGCTTCGTATTGGTTATTACCTATTTTTATTGCTTTTCTATGTAATCGGCTGTTATAGAATAGACAATTACACAAAATGCCACATGACAACAAATGGATTTAAGTTCGAAGGATTTATTGCCGACTGTAAGTGCAACTTATGGCAAATATTAAAAACATAAAGAAATAAAGCCTATTAAATATTAGAAATTCACTTTAAATAGTTTAATAAGCGGCTATGTTATGAATAGTTTTGTTCCTCGTGACGCCATTTACTTAGCAAATCACGTAGTCACCGTCTTACACTTACCTACAAATACACAAACTTTTGCAGTTTCAAATAGGCAAATATTGATATTTCTAGACACAAATAGTTCACCAGTATATCACATACAAATGTTAGTACATTTTAAAATCTATTCAATTTAATTTTCTTTCTGCAAGGCAGCGTCACCAAAGGAAGAGAAGAATTAAAATGGCGGTGTTTTAAAAATGGCGGATATGCTAATTGTTGCCATTGTGAAATGTATACAGACATTCATACACGATCTTGTATTTCAACTTATTCAAATTTTTTTGTTTGGATAATCCACGGTTCTCCGAGATTAAGCGGTTTTCTGCCTTTAAAACTATCTCCAAGGATATCAAGGAGACTGAAAATTGAAATTGATTGAGAATTAGCACCAGTCGTCATTTATATTCGAAAAAAGTTTCGGCGATTTAAGACTAAAGAATATAATAATCAAACTATGATAATTTTGGCAATTTTTATATAGCATTAATAGAATCTTAATAGAAAAAAAATCAAGCTGTAAAATGTATTTGCTGAAATACCTGCACATTTAGTGACACACAAACAATTTTTATTCTTCCCTTTTACTTAATACCAAAACTTAATAAATTAATAGCAAGCACCAATATGATATATTGTTCCTGTAGTATGGTTTTAAATTTTTTAAAACCGAAGTTTTTACCTTACAAAAGTAAATCAATTTTTATATATTAATATTCTTTATTGCACTTGTAAAATTACATATAATATAATGCATTTATAAATGTTATGAGCAAGGGTGGACTTATCTCTGATAGAGATTTCTTCCAGTCAACCCAATACAGCGAGAAAGCATGTCGTTATCGAGCAGCTGAAGTGCTACAACTATTAATATTTAGTATACATAAACAAATATACAGTTAAATAAAATATTAAAATATATAATAAAATATTACATAAATACATATACCATAAATAAATATAATACCTATCTACTTATATAATAAATGTTAAAATAAATGAGTATATTACCTACATTAGTAATTTAGTTTAATGATTTTAAGATTTGACAGTTCGATTAGAAAAATAAAAAATTATAAGTAAAGAAAAAAAAAAAATTTCAAACTTTTCTTGAAAGAGGTAATAGAAGGAATCTCTTGTATGCGGGAAGGGAGTTTGTTCCATAACTGGGCAGCTCGATACGAGAGTTGTCCATAAAATGTGTCCTACACAAAAGATATACCTTATATACCTTAATTTTTTTATGATTGCATATAATCTAACAAAAGTTAAAAATATTTATTTAAAATTTTTAATTTTAATTATTTTAAAATTTTTACAACACGAGTAAAATTTTTTAACAAAATTGTGTAAATTTATCTAATTTATAATTTTTTTTTATGATAATACAACCATAGTTGTATTCAGACGAGGAACCGGGTAGGCCATGCTCACCCCAGAGATGGAAGAGGGGATGTTTGGTCTCCACCCTAGGATGCATGTGAAACTTCATAAAGATATATCTAAGAGTACATATGCGCCTATTTTAAGGGACCAGACCACCTCCCCTTCTAGAAAATAATTTTATTGTCATAAAATGTATCTGGCTGTAAAGCAATAAAAGCATTGAGAGATTATCATGGAATATAAAAAATTTAGACGACTGAGCTACCTGGGGTCTAATTTTTAGTGAATTTCAGTCCGTTTTATCTGTTAACACTGGTATTGCGTTTGTGCTACTTGCGATACTGTCGTAAATAGCGGTTATAAATAATAGTTCTCATTTAGTTCGAAACTAATCGAGCATTCCCCAAATTAAAACGTGAGTGAAACTGCAATATAACTATTTATAAATTCCAGGTAATTAAAAATGTTTTTCAGGTGTTAAGTCCCATAATGTCTTAATTAGTTGCAGTTAATAATACTGATAGCAACACTGTTTGTTGGGGTCTGTCAAATAGAAATCTGTCTGTGGTTTTATAATTTACGAAAAAATAATTTTAACACTTAAAAATTTCACTCATGAGTTAACGCTAAACGATAGACTTATTATTTTTATGAATCTTTATTAAAACTCCGTAAGTGTATATTTCAATATTTTCTTATTAGATCATTTAATGCTACATAAATTATTATTAAATAATCTGACTTGTCAATAATAGCCAAATAAATAATTCGATTCACAGTTTTTAATGTTCTTTATTATAGTGCCGAAATGCTTATAATTTTGTATTGTTGTTTATTTTAACCTTAATGTCTAGATTCTGTGGTTTTTAAATTGTTGGTATAGTTGCTTGATACGATTTAGTACATTGCTATTTCACAGTATCTAAATTTTAATTTGTTTAGCCGATACCGACCTTAAAATAATTTATAATAATGGTTTTGTACAAAAAAAAAAAAATAACGAAAATTATAATAACAATAATATGGGATCAACACGAAAGTGAATATAAATGTAAAAATAATTATTAAAATCGATTCAGAATTGTCGAAGATATCGTGTAACAAAAAATACATGAGAAAATATTCGAGAATTACCACCCCTTTTTGAAGTTATTTAGAAATTAAAATTACATTTTTTTATATATGTAGACTTTTTAAAATTATAAACTATTAATAATAATGTTTAATTACATGTCATTCATAATGTAATATGCATTCTGATCAATTACTATTAGTTATTTAAATTATTAGTATTGATTGTTCCATTCACAAAACACTCATTTTCAACTGACTTTAAAAAGAAGGAGGCTAACAGTTTGGTTGTATTTTTTTCATATTTGTTACCTCGTAACTGACAGTTCTGAACCGATTTGGGAAATTCTTTTTTTTTATCTAAAAGTATATAATTATAGATTGATCTTATAGAAATTTTATTAAAATTAGTTCAGTGGTTTGTAAATATAAATAACTGGTTTTGCCAAAAATAAGGTAGTCCTTTTTTGTGTAACATAATCTTAAGTTATTACCCATTTGTGCAAGGTTTTTAATTTCTCTTTTTTTTAGTGTCTATAATTTAGATGATATGGCAACCCTGTCTAAATTACAATTGTAATTAACAGTACAAAATTTTAACACTAATTGATCAGTGTTCAAATTTGGTGAAACTTTCATGCATAAATAGTTACTGGTATCAAAAAATATTCTTGTTTTGATATGCAACAAATATCATTATTATCATATCAACCTTTAGCTGTCCACTGTTGAACATAAGCCTCGTCCTTGGCAGGGTTTCGTAGATTGGCAACTACTTTGGAGATGTTTTAAAAGGGATATTACACATCTTTCAACCATTAAACTCCCTTAGTCGCTTCTTACTACACCCACAGGAAATTAAGGGGTGGTCTATTCTATGTGGGAACCACATGGCCACATATATATTATATATTGTTTGATAAAGAAACATGGGGCACATAACACCCTAATCCTTAAGGCCACACAGTGGTGCCATGGAGGCATAGAGTTATTCTGTGAAGTATATTTTGTTATTTATATTGTTTTCCATTCTCAGTAGCATAAATAATATTTAAAGTTAAAAATTTCACTTCATGCATGTTCTTTGTAATTTAAATTCCAAAAAATGCATAAAGAAAATTCTGAATACATCTGATATTTGTTATATGTATGATTCTTTCTTTAAAATGTAAATGTATACCTCCATGTTAGTCTTATTCTGATTTTAGTAAGATTGGAAATGAATCTCATTTTAATTATGCAAATTAAATGTTTTAATAACAACATTAAACTATAAAATTATACCAATTGTCAGGTCTTAATCTTGTTATGAGATTGTAGACAAAATCCAAAGAATCTAGAACTAGGTTCAGACTATTTATCATAATATTTATTTTTTTATTACAAGTCGGTTACTAAGAGTTACTCTTCAAATTATCCTTTAGTAAATGTGACATGTAACACATACTTACATATTCTTTTTCCATAAATATTTACTAAGAATCTTAAGTAGGACCTACTTTACATCCTTATTACTTAAGAGTGTTAACAATTTATCTTATAACTATGAAAATTGTTATACACATTCTATAAGGGATGGAGAAGGACAAAGTTCCTTTGTAACCCAGTAAATAAAATAGTCACATAGACAAAGTCGCAGGTAAAAGCTAGTGAAGTAATATTCCTGCGTCATAAAGGTCTTAGAATGTAAGAATGTAAAAAAATCATTATATTATTCATTTTAAAGATCAATGTCTTATTTCACAACCATCTAGATTTATTTTAACAAGAATTTATAAAAAAAAAATATACTTCACTAAAATATTAGTTGCCAGAGCTCCTTTTTTTTTTTAGGAGGGAAAAGGTGTTTTTGTTCTAAGAAGTTCTGCTGTTCCATACTTTATTTATATAGATATGTAGATTTATTTTATGAATATTTGTATGTAATTTATCTTCTGAATATCATTGCATATTCTAAAGGTTGACAGGTAGAGAATGCCTATAGTACTAAGTTTGCCTTTTCTATCACATTTTATTGGTCAATAAATAATTATAAAAATAATTAATAAATAAATATAAAATTATTTAATATTCACTTATTTGTTGGAATAATTATAACATCATAACAGTAAGAACTAAATCAATTTATCACAATAGTGCTTATATAAAAAAATTACATTATCATTATTTAATCCAACTCCATATATTTCTGAGCCACTTCCAATATCTTTGGCAGGCTATCACTGAAAATGTAAATGATATATAAGATTCTAGCTGTATTCCATTATTTTGCTAATGTGAATCCATATATAAAATATCCTATTTGCTAAATTAGAATATAACTTAACCATATACCAAATTTCAATCAAATCCCTTCAGTACTTTTTGCATAAATGCATAAAGAGTAATTAATATCTATCTATCGTTACAATTTTTCGTATTTATAATTTTATAGTTAATAAAATAAAAATTTGTTATATTACAAAAAAAGTTAAATTTAAATGTATATATAAAAGTTAATTATAAATTAATTAATTATAATAATTATAGTTAAATATAAATTAGCTGACTCCGCTAACTTTGTGCCACTTAACAGTCTAAAATATTTTTTTCCATATTTTTAAGTGAGTCTTTCCAATATTTTAATAGTTATTTTGCTATTCGGGGCGGAGATATAGATCATCAGAATCTGTTCAGCCGTTCTGTAGTTCTGAATGATGTAACTAGCCTGACTTTGTTTTATTAATATAGATAATGAAAATTTGTTATGATGTTTGTTTGTTACTTTATCACTCTAGAATGGGTGAATGGATTTTGTTGAAATTTGGTACATGGGTATGTTATGTACTAATATATAACATATATATAGCCGACTTTCAGCAGCGTCCTTCTTAAAACATCTCTAAAAGCCTAACTGCAGTTGCCAACCCGCCTGCCAAGCGTGGCAACTATTAGCAAAACTCCTCTTATGGGAAAGGCTCATGTCCAGCACGGTTCGGTACGGTTAATGGTTGAAATAATAATAAAAAAATAACGTATATATAACTCCATTTTCTTTATTTCTTTTTATATACAGGAAACTACTAGTATAAAAATATACAATTTTTTTTAATTTTTTTTTAGAAACTATAACCTTAATTTAATATAAATATTTTATTTTTCAGATAAAACAACCAAGTCACCGATAGCGGAGTTAAAAATTAAAACAAAATAGTTTTAAAAATGAAGTTTTAAAGTTATTGCTCAATATTTAATTAGGATTTAGACATTTCTCAACTACTTGGTGTATGTGAGCGTGTATTAAATGTGTGATAGATACCCCGGCTACCTGTTTGGAGGGACTCCTGTCAGTAGTTGGGACAGGGGTTTCAATTCAATGGAAAATGTAAGTACACAAAATCCTTTTACTTTTTTGTATATTTATAGAGGGTGAATTCAAAGTCGTTAACCCTTGGTGAAATGAAAATCTACCCATGGTATATGTTAGAACAGAAAAAATATAAAAAAAAAATCAATTGTGTTCCAAAAAGGCTCGGGTACCTCTGTTCCATTCGTGTTTCTACCGTGAAGCAGTTGTTTGCATAGCTGTGTTTCGGTTTGAAGAGTGGGATATGGTATGAATTTACAGGGTACAGAGAAATAACATCTGAGTCCTCAGGAATGGCAATGCATGGGGGGTATCATAAGCGAAAAATATGCTTTTAGATAAAAACCAATATTCTAAATTGGTTCATACGAATTATAGTATTATGAGGTAATAAATATAAAAAATATTATTGAAAGATACTCCATTGTTTTAGAAGTCGGTTGTAAAATAAGGCAAAGATTAGTTAATAGGTTATAAGTACATTAAATATATATTAATTTCTATTTGTGCTTATCTTAATATTAACTGCCTAATTGGCTATGTCATTTTTACACAGAACATCCATTTCTTTTGATTCAAAAGAAATTTTTTTAAATAAAAGAGGATCTCAATTGATTGTATTTTTTTATATTCGTTACTTCATTACTCCGTCAGTTATAAGCTGATTTAAAATACTCTTTTTTTTTCATCTAAAAGGATATACTTATAGATAGGTTCCATAGAAATTTTATCAAAATCGGCTCAGTAATTTAGTTTTCAAATCAAAGTAACTGATTTTGCCACAAATTTAATTATTTAAATCTTCGTCTACACATAAAATTTTAATTTATCATACAGCACCTCAGTATGTTGTATTTAAAGGTATTTTGTTGGGCTGCCCAATGATGTGCCACTTAAGTTGTATAAAAAAAAATGAATTAGATGTATTCTCGGTCTCTCACAAACTAGGTTAAAAAAGTCAAAATGAAGTATAATATAGAAACATTCGGATCATCACTTATTTTAAAAAGTGTGTCTAAATTGACCCAACTATGAGTGAAACCTAGGACCCCATTTTACCAAAGCTATCCACCTTATTGCTACGATATAAAGGTCATTAACATCTAATAAATTAGTTTTAGAATAACGACCTTCTAGATTTGAAAACAAATCTAGTTGGTTACATACAAAAAATCAAATCTGTTTTTGTTATTCGTTTGTGTGATGAACAATTTTTTTTATTATTTCTTTAGTTTGTTCAAGTTATCTTCTTTTAAGGGTCTTCTTGTGGTTAATTCAATTAGTATAATATTTTGTTTGTTGCTGATTATAATTTCTTTAAATATGTAAGTCGAGTTTAGTTATCATAGTTCTTACCCGACTACTAATATAGTTTTGGAGGAGGGAAAGGGATTGTTAGTAATGGAGACTGAGAATCCCATTGCTAGCAATAAACCAGGTCGACCTCGCGGTTCCCCCTGGAAACTATCATGGTTAATTCCTGATGAATTCATCATGATGGGCTAATTGGTCTGTTTTCATTCTCATCTATCACCCTTCACTGGTGCTCCGCCAGCTTATCCCGTTAGCGCAGACGGGGCTACCTTACCATTTTCACCCATCAAAAAAAAATAGTTTTGTAGGTTGGATCTACGTTTGATTGATACCTTTCACGCAAAAAATACTAAATGGATTTATATGCAATTGGGTACACGAATAGGTTATATCCCAATTTAATATATAGGTTATTTTATATACTGATTTGCGTTGGCAAAGCTGCGGGATATAGCTAGTTAAGACGTTCGGAAATTTTTAAAAATGTTATCATTTAACTCGCGCTTCCGGGGTCCGTAAATCTTTCATCTAGTTAGCCACGTTAGAGGCTCATAGTTATGTTTGCATGGTTGTTTTGGTCTTTTAGACAAAGTGCGAGCGAATCTATTGATAGAATCGCTATCGCCAGCGAATCTGTGAGATAGAATAGAATGAGATGGGGATGTGTGCTGTCTTGTTCTTTCTCATATGAACGTTGAACAAAGCAATTTTATGAATTCGTTTGTATTTTGTCTAGGGGTTGGTTTGTAGGGTTCCATCATTATTATCTCATCATCACCATTATATCAGCCGTTTACTGACCACTGCTGAACATAGGCCTCCCCCATAAGGGGGGGTTTGCTAGTAGTTGTCATGCTTGACAGGCGGATTGACATCTACAGTTAGGCTTTGGTGATGTTTTAAGAGAACTCTGGTGCCCATCCCTCGATCACTAAGTAGTAGCATGGTTTTATGTGGCCATGAAATTGTACAGTACAGAGGCAAATGATTCCTCCCGAATACCTATGAGGGATACTGGAGCCGTCACAGTTTTCTGTGATGTCCATTTTCTATCGGGCGGGCCGTCAGCTTGTTTGCCATTCTCAGTTAGAAACAAATTTTTTCTTTTTTTTTTTTACAACATAAGGGGGCAATCGAACATGCGGTTCATCTGATGGTAAGTGACTATCGCAGCCCATGATCACCCACAATACCATTGCAGATGTGCTGCCAGCCTTTAAAAAAGGAATATGCTCTTTTTTTTAAGGTTATGATGTAAATGATAGGCAATTTATTTATTGTAATAGAAGTTTGAACGTATCATCCCCTTATTGTCTCCGGAGGCGAGGGGCATTTGTCATCTTCTCAGGTACTTGAAGTCCGACAAAAAATATATATAAATATAACTTGGCATGAATTTTATTCCGGTCATAATAAAACCTTTAATTTCACATGCTATATTACTTCATGTTGGGCAATCACACGCTTTATCGAAGGACAAAATAACCGTCGTATGCGCGGGCTTTTAAGAATTTAAAATCCATTGGATACTTTGTGAAATTTTGATGTTTGTGATATTTTGTAAGCTTTAATAGCGCCCTTATAATCCATTATTAATGAGCTCTGTAACTAAGGCGTGGGTAAAGAGGAGTCCCATTTGAATTGGAAGTGTGCCAGCCTCTCATGCCCGCCGTCAATGCGAGTAGGGTTACCATTTTACGGGAAAAGTGTAACACTGTAGAGACCTATATTCGTCATCAGTACCGATCTCTCGTACATGACGTCAGGGCAATTAGGGTTACCACTTTAGGGGGGAAAATGTATATTCTTTATTGCACTTGAACAATACATGTAGCGATTAGTTTAACAAGTTGTTAGCAAGGGAGGGCTTATCTCTGAAAGAGATCTCTTCCAGCCAACCCAAATATATGTAATATGCCCTAAGGGACCTATAATTTGTCAGCATAGTTTTAGTTTGTTATTTTTACCCATGATTTCGTTCGCATCCCCGCATTCCCATGTTTTACATTGGACATGTTTACTGAAAGGGTATTTTGATCCGGCCTGTGAATATGTTTCGATAACAGTAGCCTATGTCATTCGTATAGTATATTTCGTCTAGTATATACATAATATAGAAAATTTCAGTGATTAAGCCCTTTATTCATAAAAAAACATCAAACCTCTCAGAAACCTATTTTAGCTATTGAACTGTTTTGTCTCTTTCTTTTGTACTAAATTACTAAATTGAAGAAAAGTAATAAAACGGCCGTGTGACCTTGGCATAGAATAGTCCCGTGGGTGTCGTAAGAGGCGACTAAGGGAAGACGAGGAATGGGCAGCAACGTCCTTTCTAAAATGTCTCTAATGCCTAACTGTGGTTGCCAACCCGCTTGCCAAGTGTAGCAACTATTGGCAAAACCCCTCAAGGGGGAGGGTTATGTTCAGCAGAGAACAGCTAAAGGCTGATATGATGATTAGCTGATTAGAATTCTATGTTAGATACTCTTTATTTATATTTATATATTAATTACTGGATGTCGGCTTAGTATATTTATTATGAGTAAACGTACACCTAGTATAACATTTGAAGGATTATTTCATTATATTGGCCTTGTCTCCGCATCGAGTATGTCCTTGAGGGAAATGTGGTAGCTTGCCAAGTATGCTACCAATATTTCAGTCACTGTAAAAGTATTGAAATAAATGTGAAAGTTTGGGAATATGTTTGGATGTTTGTTACATAATGTGTGTTTGCATGGCTGTGTTTCGGTTTGAAGAAAAGAGATCTTAATCACGGCATTGTGTCAGTGCCTTAAAAGGGGTTAAACACACACACTCGTTTTGCTTAATCAAATCGTCAAGTTTAATTTTGTGTAGGTATATTTTAACGATTGCTAAGTAATCATCAATATTAATATCTAGACAACGGTAATATATATATATATATATATATATATATATATATATATATATATATATATATATATATATATATATATATATATATATATATATATATATATATATATATATATATATATATATATATATATATATATATATATATATATATATATATATATATATATATATATATATATATATATATATATATATATAGCTACTTGTCGCAAGAACTGTAACTAATTATATAATATATTATTATATATTAATAGTTTATATATTTTGTTTTTTGTATTTTTTTATTTGTGCTTTTTTGTTTTTATTCTTTTGTCCCTTTTGCTGTGTATTATGTGTATGTTTTTTTTATTGTAATTTGTGTGCTGTAAGTAATGTAAATAAATTATTTATCTATCTATTTAATAAAAGAAAAGACACTCGTGTTACGTATGCAAATAATTATATGCAAACCTTACATCTAAGTAGTCAATTGACAGAAGTATCACATCTACCTAGTTTTTATTCTTATAAAAATATTTTAGTCCTCACTTTTGGCAATGTGTGAGCTCTTTTTCTTATATACTACTTGTACTTAATTTTTATACACTCGGTCATGATACATTTTTATGCAGATGGCCGAATTCCAAACGAAGTGTGGCCACAGTGCATCTTAAATGTAACTATTGCAGTTGAAAATGCCACCGATTGCGGGACCTTTTGTCATATTCCGCTGCGGTACTATATGAACTCGACTTTGATACACTTTTCTTGTATATTGTTAGATTCGAATTTACGCGGCATAGAATAGACTAGAAAACATTAATTGCCAGTAAACACAATCACAATATAAAATATAGAAAATACATATACAAGAAATGTCCCATATTGGGCAAAAGGAACCGCCCCAGCTGATGCTGTGAGTGTCCCAGCGCAATGTGAACAGCTGCACAGCGCTGGTCTTCAGCCAGTCCCTCTCTTAACAAATAACAACCAAAATACAGGAAACCACTGTAATTGCTTCTTACAAGAATTATTTGTTAAACTTAATAAACTCGGCATAGCCTCCGTGGAATTCATACCCGTGAGAGTTTTTAAATATGCAAAAATTTTTCCAAGGTCGTTAGTTCTATGAAAATTAATGGCTATTTTTTTAATTTAGACAGTTTTTCGGACTACTTTTTTCATACATCGCTTTTTTATCGATGTAACTCAAAATGACGCTAAATTTTTAGTTCCCTCTGCTTACTAATGCACCGCTGTCAAGTTAACCAAGTTAAGAGATGAAGAATCTACTTACTGGTTAGAGGATTAACATTTTGTCGTTTTTCTGTCAATTTTTTTTGGAAAATGTATTATTTATTTTGCCAAAAAGCAGCTCAATTTCAATGACTATACCTATTTGGTATTTTCACTAAAATGTCGGTATCGATTCGATTGAAAACACCAGTCGAGATTGCATCGAGTATCCACAGTAGTAAATCGGGTAAGAGGGTCACGGCCGACCGTTTTCGCTCCACTTTTTCGTTTGATTGTAAACTTTACGGGTTTGTATTGTTTGTTGAAAATTGGTATACGAATGTTCATTGCGGCCGATGCGGTATACGTGGTTTGTTTCCGCCCTCTACTCTTGGTCTCAGTCCTTGATTAGTATTCGCGGGGGTGACGCAGTTGTTGTGGGTATCTTAATGTTGATCAACTCCGATTTGATAGTACGTTGTTTTGTGAGTTTAGAAATTTTATAAAATGTTTAAGCTGTAATAAATTGTCGTTTGGGAAAAAAAAAAATTCGGTTTATATAAGAACTAGTGTTTACCCTCGACTTTGTCCTCGTGACTGGTATATGTCGATTGCCCAGTATGAGAAGCCTGTGTTCTTCTCCATCTCAAATACAATACGTATGTTAACCATGACAATTGATTGACTCGTTCAATTGGCAAGAGAATAAACAAACCCACGCGCACATTTATAATATTAGTAACTAGTAGTAGTATATAGTCGAAAGAATTGAATAAATCTAATGGAGACTTAACGTCACAGAATCCCATTGCTAGCAATATACCCAACTATACCTCCTGTAAGCGGTTATGAAACTATCATGGTTATATATATATATATATATATATATATATATATATATATATATATATATATATATATATATATATATATATATATAATTGAATAACTGGCCTGTTGTCATTCTCATCTATCACCCTTCACTGGTGCTCCGCCAGCGTATCCCGTTAGCGCAGGCGGGGTTACTATACCACTTTCACCCATCAAAAAAAAAAAAGTATACAGTCAAAAGAATGGAATAAATCTTAATTTTTTTTTATTCAACTTAGAATGGCAAACGGGCATAACTTAATATAAGAGATGAATTTAACAGCATTTACAAAGCATATTTTAAATATACAATCGGGATTTAACGTCACGTAGTACCACTTCGTGGGCACGACGTGGTGCACGTCGAAACGTCAGCAATAAAGAAGCAGGTATGTACGTACTACCCATAGAGAGCTTTACCTGTAAAAGCTTTTTTATATATATATATATATATATATATATATATATATATATATATATATATATATATATATATAGTATATATATATACCTATATAATTGAATACCACTTGGCCATCGAAGTTAGGTTTTGAGAGATATTTTAAGATGACGTTACTCATCACTCGACCATTAATTTCTACCGCGAATAATGCAGTTGTGTTTGCATGGCTGTGTTTCGATTGAAGAGCGGGATATGGCAGTGAATTTACAGGGTACAGAGGAATAACACCTGAGTCCTCAGGAATGGCAATGCATGGGGGGTATCATGGGCGAAACAGTATACTCTGTTATGTCCATGGTACTGCTCATGTCTATAGGTAACGGTTAACACTTTCTATCAGGTGGGCCGTCAGTTTGTTTGCCATTCTAAGTTGCATGAAAAAGGTTCCCTCAGTTGACTCTTATGGCCCTCATAATACTTGTGATACTCATGATACGTATACTTGGATGAACATGAAATTGTAATCCCACCTGCATTATCAGTATAACACTGACGGGGCATCAATAAGTGGTGATAAGTGAGGATGGAAGCAAGTAAATTTTCCCATCGTAACAAATTTAAGAAGAAATAACCACGATGGTTTTCAACTCGAACCACGCTGAGGTCGTCCCGGTATACACAAGATTTGTACGGTATTACTAAATCTTATCAATGTTTCATTTTAAACTTTTTCAGCAAATTCAACAGCAGTACAGAGGTCGAGCGGGCCCGGCGCGGTACTGGGGCAGCATGTCAGAGGGGGGCGGGGTGTCGGCCGCCGGCGGCGACAACTGCAAGACGAACCTCATAGTCAACTACCTACCGCAGACCATGACCGAGAAGGACCTGTACGCGATGTTCATGACTATAGGACCCATAGAGAGCTGCCGGGTGATGAAGGACTTTAAGGTGGGTCAGTGAACTTTAGGGGCTAACGGTTATTGTTTTTAATCCTTTCCACTCCAAGCCTTTTTTCTTTTGATTCCACCAGCTCCACGCTAAAATTGCGTTTTTTTAACTTTTTGGGGTTTTTTCGTATTTTGTAAATAAAATTGATTTTTTGTTATATGATAAACTTTATTTTATGAGTATACTATATTATAATTCTTAATTCTAATCTTTATAATCCCTTTTGGTATGGTACAAAATCAATATCGAGTGATACTCGACACCTTTGTCCCATTCGTGTTTCAACCATGAAGCAGTTGTGTTTGCATGGCTGCGTTTCGGTTTGAAGGGTGGGATATGGCGTGAATTTATTGGGTACAGAGGAATAACACCTTAGTCCTCAGGAATGGCAACGCATGGGGGGTATCATGGGCGAAACAGTATACTCTGTTATGTCCATGGTACTGCTCTTGTCTATTGATATAGGCGACGGTTACCACTTTCCATCAGGTAGGCCGTCAGCTTGTTTGCCATTTTAAGTTGTATAAAAAAAAAGAATTCCGCAAGGTTGAAATCTTTGGAATTAAACTAAAATTGTGTTAAAAACAATCTATTATTGTACTAAAATTGTGGTAATTTTATAAACTTAATTAGATAAAAGCAAGATAAAGAAGCTACAACGGGCGATCTTATCGCTAAATAGAGCGATCTCTTAAATATTAATATATAATAAAATATATAATAATAATAATAAATAAAATTTATTCAATTTGTTTAAATTTAAGTTTGTCTAATTCTTTTGTTTGAAAATTGTCACAATATTGTACACCGCTCTACCCGCTGACATTGATGCTCATTTCCACTTTGTGTATTGCTGGAAGAGAACTCTTTAAAAATTAGGCTCGCTTTGGTACATTTACTTAATTCTGTCATATTTTATGTACTATTAACGTGTACAATAAAGTATTAAATAAATAAATAAATATTGTATTGGATGATCGATATTTTTTATATATAAAATTCTCGTGTCACGGTGTTTGTTACCAAACTCCTTCGAAACTGCTTTACCGATTTTTATGAAATTTTGTGTGCATATTGGGTAGGTCTGAGAATCGGCCAACATCTATTTTTCATACCCGTCAATGATAAGGGTGAATCACGCCAAAATATTTTTTTTTATTTTTTTGACATTTTTTTTTTTATTTTATTTTAGTATAATTTAGCATTGAAAAATACATACAACTTTAAATTTTCATCGTTTTATGATCAACTCCTGTATTTTAATCGCGATTTTTATATTTCGCAATAAGTGGTAAAACAACGTTTACGGGGTCAGCTAGTAATATAAAATATATGTTATTGTGCCAAATTATAGATATTTTAATTAGTAAATTCAATACTATTTATTACCCACTTAGATGGTTCTCTTTGCCTATTCTGCAATAGCCTTGGCGTGAAGATATATAAATAGCAGAATAATAAAGTGTGTTTGTATGTTTACAGACTGGCTACAGCTATGGGTTTGGCTTCGTCAACTTCGCACGAGAAGAGGACGCTGCGAGAGCTATAGATACATTTAATGGCTACCAGCTAAGGAATAAAAGATTAAAGGTAAATTATTTAGTATTATATTATTATATTCGCTGTGTCGGTCCCGGTATAGAATGGACCACGCCTTGGTTTCACGTGGGTGTCGTAAGAGGCGACTATGGCAGTGAATTTATAGGGTACAGAGGAATAATACCTTAGTCCTGGGGGAAAAGGATTGTTAGTAATGGAGATTGAGAATCCCATTGCTAGCAATATGCCCAACCAGGTCGACTTCCTCGCCGTTCTCCCTGGAAACTATCAGGAATTAACCTGATGAATTCATCATGATGGGCTAACTGGCCTGTTTTCATTCTCATCTATCACCCTTTACTGGTGCCCCGCCAGCGTATCCCGTTAGCGCAGGCGGGGTTACCATACCATTTTCACCCATCAAAAAAAAACGCCTTAGTCCTTAGGAATGGCAACGCATGGGGAGTATCATGGGCGAAACAGTATACTCTGTTATGTCCATGGTACTGTTCATGTCTATAGGCGACGGTTTTTTCATCAGGTGGGCCGTCAGCTTGTTGCCATTCTAAGTTGCATAAAAAAATGCTTGTAGGTATCATACGCCCGGCCGTCAGGGGACGATATAAAGGAAACCAACTTGTACGTGACGAATCTCCCCCGAGCCATCACCGAGGACCAGCTCGAGACGATATTCGGCAAGTACGGCAGGATAGTTCAGAAGCATATACTGCGGGATAAGAGCAACGGCACGCCCAGGGGCGTCGCCTTTGTAAGGTAAACAACTATGTTTATTTATATATTGTAAATTAAAAATTGTATCCTATACAAAAAACATTCACTTCAATCGTGACAATATTAGTTATTTTGATGTAGCAATTAAAGTACTGTAAGGGTTTTGGTAAAATTTCTATGGAGTCAATCTGTAAGTATATCCTTTCAGACAAAAAAAATACAACCAAATTGAGATATATTTTTTTCAGTCGGTTGACAATGCAATGGCAACTCCTTTTACACTAATGTTATAGACTGGCAGGGTACTAGTAAAAGATGACAGGGATGAGACGTCACGCCAGTTGGCCTGGTGTTCACCAGGGATTAACAGTTGATCTATTATGGCGTGTTCACCAGGGACTAATCATAATGATTTCCAGGGATGACCATGTGGAGGTCAATCTGACTATTATTTATTATTATTATTTATTTAATATAAAAATCCTCAGCTCTTAAAAACAACTTACGTGTTAAGTCTCTTATAAATACAGCCAATAACGGATTTTATTTATTCCCAAAGAGGGTTGACGCCAGGTTTTTGTAGTATGGATAAAATCATATTACGCCGACCCCAAATGATTGGGATAAGGGTAGGAAGATGATGAACGGATTTTAATTATATAAACGAAAATTATAATTCTAAAGCAAGATAGGCAAGTTAGAGTGGGTGTATGCAAGTAATGTAATTTCGTGTATGAAAGAAACTATGTATAACAATGAGTGTCCATAAAGTCAGGTTAATTAATATATCTATCTGTATCTATTGTCTTTTTTTTTATACAACTTAGAATGGCAAACAAGCTGACGGCCTACCTGATGGAAAGTGGTAACCGTCGCCTATATCAATAGACAAGAGCAGTACCATGGACATAACAGAGTATACTGTTTCGCCCAGGATACTCCCCATGCGTTGCCATTTCTGCGGACTCAGGTGTTATTCCTCTGTACCCAATAAATTCACGCCATATATCACCCTTCAAACCGAAATACAGCCATGCAAACACAACTGCTTCACGGTTGAAACACGAATGGGACAGAGGTACCCAAGCAATAGACTTCTGTACAAAGTATCCCTCTGGTAAATTTATGGGGCCACTATATCCTAATACTAACCTCTCTCTCAACAGGGCCACTAGATCCTAATATTAACATCCTCCCTTCTCTCTCCCTTTCTTATACATTTATGCTCTAACGTGGTCATACGTTCGCGTCTGATAATATGAAGCTGAGAAAAGATTTGCGGGAACTGATATCTTCTTCGAACTTGCCAGTTTTAACTAAGAATACACTTCAGTTTTATGATATTCTAATTAGGTAGTAAAATATTTTGGCACTTTTTTTTTGGGGTGAAAATGGAATATCAACTCCGCCTGCGTTAACTGTATATATTGTTGGGGTACCAGTGATGGATGGAAGATGAGGATGATGTCAGGTCAGTTAGTCGACTGTGGTGAATTCACAGGAATTAATCACGATGAATAGGCCACCCCTTCCTTTCCCGTGGGTGTCGTAAAAGACCACTAAGGGAAAGCGAGGGATGGGCAGCAGCATCCCTCTTAAAACATTTTTAGACCCTGACTGCAGTTGCCAGTCCGCCTGCCAAGCGTGGCAACTACTGGTAAAACCTCTTAAGGGGGAAGCTTATATTCAGCGGTGGATGGTTAAGGGCTGAAATGATGATGAATCACGATGGTTTCCAGGGGGAACCGCATGGAAATCTACTTAAAGAGGTCTATTGCTAGCAGAGGGTCTACTAGTTCTTGTTATAATTTGTAATGCCGTCTTCCCATTTATCTTTACGCTAATTCTTTAAGAGGTAGATAGAGATAGAGAACTGAATACCTCTATTCAATATTATATTAAACGATTTGACTTTATTTTAAACAGATTTGATAAAAGAGAGGAAGCGCAAGAGGCGATAGCAGCGTTAAACAATGTGATACCAGAGGGCGGGACTGAGCCGCTAAGCGTGAAGGTGAGTGGTGTTATCCGTTGACAATTTATTGACGATATTGGTGAATATTAGTGATCACTATTTCTAGTGAAACCAGCTAATAGTGAAACTACGAGGGTTCAGTAATTAATTACCTGGAGATATGTGATTTTTTTATTTATTCAATTTAAAATTTATTTAATGTCTGATAACAAGATCTGTTTTGTTAATACCAGACTTAAAATAATGTTAGTAAAAAAGGTTATAATTTAGTAAACTATATACCTTGAGAGGTATTCGTATTCAGTCAGGACTGCAATAAACCAGGGCATGGTTATTTTGTGTTGTAGTTCTCGCCCTGATTAGATGCCCTATTACAGGTGCATGGATATTTTCAGCTATCATTTTAAGGATGGTGTTGTCATATTATTATTCTTTGAAATCAGCTAACAATGCATGAATAGTAATATAATTTGTTAGCTGGTGCTTAATAGTTTTTCAACTTAATATTGTATGGTGAAACCAGCTAATAATGTAGAAATTGTGGTCATTATTAGCGGTTTTTGTCTGGTTTTTAATAATTAATATCTGACTAATAATTTGAAGAAACAAGCTAAAAGTGAAGGAATTGTTTTTAGTTAGTGATTGTTGATTTCACTAATATTTGGTGAAATTAGCTAATAGTGAAGGACTAGTTATTAGCCGGTGATATTTTTATTATCTAATATGTATTTGGTTCACACGTGATTTTTATTTTAAAATTCTTTGCTGAAGTTGATTTTAAAGTTCTTTAGCCAAGCTATTTAACGTGTTTCCGATTTATATATTCACATTAGCCGTTAACTGTCCACTTCTGAACATAGGCATTACCCATTATGGGAGTCTTACCAGTAGTTGCCAGGTTTGGCAAACGGGTTGGCAACTATAGATAGGATTTGGTAGTTATGTGCATGGCTGTACTGTATGTATATAGAAGTACATTATAATGGACAAGGTTACTTCTTTATCGAAGTACAGTCGTCCTCGTAAATATTGTGAGGACGTGAACTGAGATATTTTAAATGATAACATATTATTTATAAAACAAGGATTACTTTGGAATTTTTGAATTTTAAAAAACAGAATTCGGTTTTTGTCTTAAAATAATCGCAGTATCTAGCGTATTGGTAAGTTAATTGGAGCCTAATTATAATTAACTTGCAGGATTCATATATGTTTTTTTTTAATGTTTCTTTTTTAAATAATTGTCTCTGGTCGGTGCCTGATCTTGTAAACTTGTAAATGCGTATCAACTCGCTTACTAGTTATGTTTTTCGTATGTTTGTTTTGAAGTGTGAGCTAGAGATATGGCAGTGAAATTACAGAACACGGGCATAGTACCATAGTCAGGCAATGTATAAGGGATAACATATCCGTTACAGAGTATTCTGTGATGTCCTTGGGAACTGTTCATGTCTATAGGTGACGGTTACCACTTTCTGTGTGTGACAAACAATATGTGGGGTCGGATTTATGATTTATAGAGTATTAATCGTTGATCCCTTTCCCCCCATAGGTGCGCCGTTACCTTTTTCGCCATTGCAGATTGCATGTTAGTATTAAATGGTACGGTTAGCGTGCACAATTGGCCGGGGTTCGGGTCTAAATTGTTGTTTACTTTGGCAGCCTACTGGGACAGACGCGATCTACAAACGCGCGTCGTCCGCTTCTGTATGGCGCTCGAACAGTCGACTACGGTTGCACAGTGACACGATGGTGCGATATGACGTCATATGTTCCGTAGACAATGTGGCCCGTTGTCACATGCTTTTTTTTGCTGACGTTACCCGTATGTAGCGATGCGCGAATTCGAATTATTTTGTTATTCGAATGATTAGTAATTACTAATTTTATGATTCGACTACTAAATTAGTAATATACTAATTTCCGTATTTGAATGATTTTAGTAATTAGTAACTAATTACAAAAATGTCCCTTTTCCGAATCTGTTTTTAACTAAATTCATTTCACAGTCTGGATCCATTACTACTACATTACTATCTTAGTAAAGACGACGACGAAAAATAAAACGTCACCAAGTAATGAAATATCAATTTTATTATACGTATTGTAATACTTTCGCAATTTCATATAAAAACTGTACTTACTTTTATCGACACTTGGTAATTTTTACTAAATTTAAATTGGCAACACTACTATCCATTATCTCTTTCAGACCCAAGATTTTTTCCTTACAGATTAAATATATTTTCGTGTTTTGGAGCCAAGCCATCTTGCACGAGACTACTGCACCACCTAATCGCTAAAATGATTTCCTATTGGCTGGTTTAGAATCTCACTATCATGTTATTTCAGCTTCGTGCGTAAAAATGAATTGCGCGCGGTTTTAGAATTTTTTAAAGTTACAACTCACGCCCGTATCGTTCAGGTCTGAAAGGGTTAAAAAATTGAGACATTCCAACGGTCTGGTCAACTCATACATTAACGACTACTAATGAATGATATTATTAGTAATCGGACGACATTAGTAGTTGACTGACATTAGTAGGAGAAATAAAATTAGTAGACGAATGATGTGAAAATCATTCGATTAATCCGAATGGTTTGTTCAGTCGAATAATTGGTAGTCGGTTTAGTAAAGTCGCGCATCGCTACTCGTATGTTACTTTGGTTACGTGACTCGTTGTCACAGGTTTTTGTTGCTGACGTTACTTTTTATTCGGTTTCAATTGTTTTTTTAGGTTGAATTTCGAACGCTTCTCTTTTTATGTTTTATAAGCGTTGTTTTTTTTTTTAGTTTTTATCTGTTCGGTTAGCGGTTAGGTCGATGTTAAATGTGCTGTTTTTTTTTTATATTTTCTTCTTCCGGGTCTATTACGTTTTAGTTTATGTATTTTTTTCATTTATAGATATTTCGCATTTTAGTAGTAGTAGTAGGTCGTAGTTTTTAATTCCGAATTTATTTAATTATTCTTTAATTAATGTCTAAATAATATGGATAAAAATAAGTCGTCCCAAATTATAAATTTAAACATGTTTCTAAATTTAAAAAAAAGATTATTTTTTATAAAGTTAAATTTGTTGTTCTATACACATTTTTTTTTTTATTTTAATAGATATTATTCCCAAATTTTTTTACGAAAATCACAATTTGGTTTTGTTATTTTTAATGAATTTTGTATGATTGTATATATAATATATATGTATATATATATATTAGGAACCTCTGATATTTATATTAAATATGTGCAAGCTATATACGATATGTGAGCTTGCTGGTCGCCACAACGGTAACAGTCTACAAGTATTTCTGACTGCCCCATCAGGGATTACATTATCATACCATATCAGCCGTCTACTGTCCACTGCTGAACATAGGCCTCTTCCAAAAGGGGATTTTGGCAGTTGTTGCCATGCTTAGCGGGCGTATTCCCAACCGCAGTTGGACTTTGGTGATGTTGTAAGGGGGACGCTGCTGCCCATCTCTCAATATCTTTGCCTCATTAATAACTAAATTACCTTATAATTAATCTACTAACGTCCCACTACTGGGAACAGGCCTCTCTCTATAAGAGATACAACGCTGGCCAAGTGCTTGGTATATATGTAGTTAATTTTAATCTTTTGCGTTGTTTAAACATATTTTTCCCTTCATTGTCTCAGGCAATACAGTTTTGATATAATTATGTAAATTAATTTATTAGATATGTTACAGTCTGAAGAATTCCTCCCTATTAGTTGTCAGTACGTACGGGTGTAGCGATTGGTCCCAAATTGTCATAATCAAGTCCCTCAATAAATGGATATATATCACGGGCGTTAGACTACTGGTTGTTTCTTACACTGTGGTTTTACTGTGTGGGTTTTTTCCCGATCTTTCACCTCATATTCTTACGTCAATACGTATCATAATTTTCGTGTCTTAATTCTAGTACATTCTAAAATTACAGGTGGCTGAGGAGCACGGCAAGCAGAAGGCGGCGTACTACGCTGGCTGGGCGGCGGGATTCCATCACAATCGAGGTAATAATTTAATAATTACAAAGGAATCAGCTTTGTCCTGTTTGGAGAACGAGGAAAGAGACAAAGGTGAGAGGTTGAGTGGGAGAGAGAGGGAGAGGGAGGGTATGTGTGAGTGAGAGAGATATGGTTCGAAAAGAATAACAGGCCCGATTTTGAAGTCACTATATTTGTATTTACCACTTTTTGATCTTGACATTCCAGTATGTCTCCATCCTTTTTTAAAATTAACTTTTTAACTTACTAAATTGATTATTATCTCTAAAGTTGAAGTCCATTTTGAACCTTCAAAATATCATATCTACCTAGATATGATATTCCAAAGTCATTTGTTATTTTTTTTTTAGTATGTTTGTTCCGTTGTGGAACACGCTAAGGTCAGAGACCATGCTGCCTAATTTATGTCATTTACTAAAATGTCAATGGAATTGTAAAGTGATATTTATTACATGCCAGAAGCTAGTTTGAAAAGTTAAAGATAATTTTAAAGTAGGCAATTTAAAATTTTCAATGTATTCCAAAGCATCATTCTCTTATTTTATCTTTAAAATTAGAGATTTTGCAAGATTTTTACATTTGCATAAGTTTTTTGGTAAATTGCGTTTTAAAAATTGGTATTATTTTTTTAAAAATGGAACATTTAATGTCGACGTCACTACACTCGATTAAAATTTGTAATTCGAAGGCAAAGGAATCTCGTTAAACGTAGTCACATACCTGTAGTCACGAATAACATAACCATATATAGCCTAATCCAAAGACAAATTGTGCACGCTGCCACGGATCAGCCTCTATACCGCATGTACCGCAGCGTCACCACAGCCTCGACCAGCTTGACATGCTGCACAGGCAGGATTACACGACCAACTATGGTCTGTACGGCGGCACATCGAACCGGTTCCTCCGACGCGACTTTTACAATCAGTCGTCTTATATGAGTCACCATCGTCCGTTTTGAAAAGGGCTCTACTGTAAAAAGTTCCGTCTATCCGACACAAGGATATAGACGGGCGAGGACTTTTGTTTTTGGTAGTGTAATATATATATTGGTATAGCGTAAGACTTTAGGTGCTGTGGAGTTTTTTGTGATATTAATATTTTCTTTTTATTATTAAAATGAATACAACTGTGTCATTGATTTTTTGGCATTTCAAATTGTATAAAAAAATTATGACAAAGATTATTGGGTTAAATAATGTTGAATACAGTTCGTTAGATTATATGGGATTGGGGTATCAGGGATAGCGAAGGGAGAAGAAGAAATTAGAAAGTATATGATTATATTCGCTTGTTGTATTAGAAATAGGGACGCAAAAAGATGAAATTAGAAGATGAAGATTATATTGATAGAAGGTATTAGAGATAGAGAAGCAAGAAAAAGAGATTAGAAGGTAATTATATGGGCTCGGGGTATCAGGGATAGAGAAATAACAAGAAGAAATTAGAAGATAATCTTTTCGTGGTATTGATGTGGTAATTGTTGGCACTTTGTCGTGTTTATGATATATATAACGTAAAAACACTTATAATTTCACATATTTATTTTTATATCTCTGACCGGTTTCGCCTTATATTATAAGGGGAGGGGAGGACCTGTTAGGTACTCGTATTGCTTGAAAATAAATTTGTGGAATTTACAAGTGCTTCTTTACAATGGTTGTACATTTTTTTTTTTAAATTGATATATATTGGGAATAAATATATTAATATTAGGGAGACTCCGCAACACTTAAGTGATGTTCACCTTAATTTGCGCTTAGTTACCCTGTCCACTGTTACTCTCCAACGCTTCTTCTGTACATTAAGAATATTCTAGAAGACTCGAACGCGCGATGAAGCGAGAACACGTTGTTAGCAGTTTTGTGGACACTTTTTGTTGAACATAAGAAATACTGATATTTTTTATTTACGACCATAGATTAAGAATGTAGTGAAAAATATGGATCTACCTGAATCTACGGCAAAATAAAGTTTTCTTAGCTGTGATTAAAGAAGTGTTAATGTTGACTACTAAATGGTTTTTGTTTTCTTAATGTCTATATTTTATAGTGCCAGTGTAAGAAACAAAAAATGTTCACAAAAATAGTTGGTACTTATTTTGACTGAGGCGGAATATTTAAAATGGTAAAATTTAAAAATGGAATATTAAAATTTGAATTTATATAAAAAAAAATGCAATAATTTCGTGCTGGGTGAAAAGAAGTTTGTTGTTTTATTGTTTTTATTTTTAATCGGGTTGAAAAAGAGAAATTGCTAATTTTATGGGGTGGTATTTTTTTTTGGGGTTGACATATATATGTATGTATGTATATTGATATAGATTTTATTTTAATTAATTTTTTTGTCTCTGCCTGTTCAGAGAGAATGAATTTAGAAAAATTCAAACAATCAATTGATAAACTTATTACAATTAATAAATATGTAGAAATTGTTAAAACTTACAAAATATTTTTCATCTTTTTTTTTTACAAATTGAAATAATAATATAATAATTATAAAAATAATAATAAAAAAATATATCGTTTGTATGTGTCAAACTGTGTTATGTGTTATAGTTAATTTAATTTATTATTTCTTAGTCCAGATTATAATTTATATTAAAAAGAAATATAAAAATATATTTTTCTAATGATTATTTAAATAGTGTGTCGTAGTAATTGGATAATGCATTGGCTACCTATGTCTCTGTTTATCTAGTGGGTAACTGATAGGGAGTACCCTCTGGTGTTAAGTTTGCCAAATGTGCATATAGTTACACTGTATATTTACAGGGTACAGAGAAATAACACCTGAGTCCACAGGAATGGCAATGCATGGGGGTATCATGGGCGAAACAGTATACTTTGTTATGTCCATGGTACTGCTCATGTCTATAGGTGACGGTTACCACTTTCCATCAGGTGGGTCGTCAGCTCGTTTGCCATTCTATGTTGCATAAAAAAACTGTGTAAAAGGTATTTATTTATTTAAAATAAATAATCTATCCGCTGACATTGATGCTCCTTTCCACTTTGGGTTTGCTGGAAAAAACTCTATCAGAGTTAAGCTCGCCTTTGTACTTTTGTTTACCTCTGTCATATTTCTATAACTAAAGTGTACAATAAAGTATTAAATAAATAAATAAATAAATCTATGGTATTTAAGGTGGTCTTGAGCCCAGCACGAGATTTGAATATTAAAATAAAAAACTAAGGGACCCTGTCTCAGCACAAAAAATCCACTGTTGTCGACTTCATTATAAATGTAGACATTTAGATATCCGGTAGCCATTTTATGCACAGTAACTCTTACTATATATAGTATACAAAACGTCGAATTGTCTATGGTACTGTCGATTTTCAAATTCTATTTGTTTTAACTGATTTATAGACAACGATTTTTATGTGAAATTGCATTTTTAAACTTACCGAGTTATTTATTTTAATTCTAAATATAATTAAAATAATTATATGATAAAAATAATCTTTAATACAATTTATTATGTACACAATGGAATTATTATACTTAATACACTGTACAAAATCGAATTATAAAAAAAAAAAAAAACATTCGTTGAATTATATAAAATAACAAAATAATAACATTAACATAGTGATTGTATTTTCTTTTTAATTTTTATGGGGAATATTTTTTTATATAGTTTGAAATTACAATACAGCTTAATGTCTCTCTAGAATCAATTTTTAATTATATTACTTATTGCATACCTCTGCGGGGTGCTGCATGTTATGTGCCTGTATATGTATATAACTTCTTATTGTACCATGTAGCAAGCGAATAAATATGATTTGATTTGATTTGATAGTAGCATTTATTTGAAGTTTATACTAAATTTATTATTATTAGATTTATTAAATGCTTATACATATATTATTATTATTATTAAAATGTATTTTATATAATTTGGACCGTACACGTGTAAAATATGCATAATTGAATGTTGTTTTTTTTTCATATATAAAAATCGTTGTCTATTATCATGGCGCTATACGATATTACAGTAACATAAGTTGTGCTCATGTCAATTTATTAATTTTAAAACGGCACTCTAATGGATACGCAAGTTTATTACGAATTAAAAATATACTTAATTAGTTTAAACTACGGAATTAAATAGTGTTTTAGATGTAGTTTTTTCTTATACTATTTTTAGAACTTATGTTTATTTTTTATTCGTATTATATATATATATATATATATATATATATATATATATATATATATATATATATATATATATATAAAAGGAAGAAATAATTGTCAGAAACGGTAAAGCACAGGGAGTTTGCTAATTTCTCGTTATATATATGTATATATATAGTTTCGTCTTCTTAAATTATATAAATTAAATTTATTTACTAGAAATATTGTTAATTTTCTAGTAATGCCCATTATGTTTCGTCACATCAAATGGCATGCACATATTGGCCATCGGGTTTACATATAATTAATTAATTCTTAACAATTTATTATTGTATGTATCTAATAATAATACTGTAATAAAAAATTAAAAAAAAAGTAAGTAACTCCACTTCAACGTTTAGAGAGGAGAATACCGTTCAAGTGGTCAATAAAGTTATTATAAAATAAATAGAAATAATAAAAAAGAGTTAAAAGTGAAATAAAATATAATTAAATATATTATTGTATTAATTAAGTAATACAATTGTGGGCTATTTTTTAATGTGAAGTGATTATCTGTGAATATTTATTAAATTTACTATGATGTGACTTGATTATTTATTGATTTTTTTTACAAATATTGTAATGTGTAAAGTACACTGCATTGACTCTGCTTATTTATAATAAAAAAAAATCAAACTTTGCATTATGAACGGGGAAGTAAAGAAATAATAAAATTTAAATTACTTTTTTTTTAAATTTAAATAAATTTTTTTAATAAACAAAATATCAATCGAAACTCAGAGTATTTTCTTTTGTAATTATTAATTTTAAATTATCATTTTTATTATTTTAACACCAATCTTTAGTTTTATCAATGA